ACACGCGGACCGTGTGTATGCAAATGTTTACGCATTGCTGAATTGTCACGAAAAAACTTGTAGCACCCTTTTTGGGGACAAGCAATACGTTTTTCGCCAGGGCCATTGCAATTACTTTCTGATGCCGCCGTATTTATTTTGTTACTATAGCTTAAGGGCGGTGGTGAAGTGGAAATAACTTGCGGATTTTGTTGCACAACAACACTTACTGGCAAAGCGTTTGATAAGCTACCGCTATCCATACTAGTCATTGTAATAACAGCGGTATTGGCGGGATGAATAAGTGGTGTGGCCAATACAGCAGTACGCGAAACTGGCAAAACAACATTTTTGGCATTTTCTTCATCTAATGTTACAAAAGTGTCGGTCTTATTATTTGCTACAGTCTTTTTAAATCTTAATTTATTGTCTATGTTGCTGGAACCAGCATATTCAGATAACTGCGGATGAGAAGATATATCTAATCCTATTATTGTGGATTCATTTGTGCCACATCTATCATCTGCTGGATTTGACGCATCTCCAGAATCGACTGTATTTCGAACTAAAACTGGGGAGGAGTGCAGCTCTTGTTGCTGTATGATAAGCTGTCGATGCAATAAGTGCTCTTGTTGAAAATCATTACTATTGATAGTAGGCACAAATCCCTGTACAGGATCAGGAATGTTACATTCTTCATCCACTTCTTGTTCTTCACAGGATATAAAATCTTGATAATCTGTCTCATGATCTGGATTTGAAGTTTCGTCGTCTGAATTACCGGAAGCCCACATGGTTACACTAAATTCTCCTTCCATCGTTTTTATTTGCACTTGTTTCTGCTCCCAGCGACGAGGTTTTGCAGGTTCTTCCATTATTTCTATAGGCTTGTAGCATATAGTATTACACGTACTTGTAGTTACCCCGCCAGCGGAATGCAATTGTGGCAGTTCATATTTATTAATGTACTTTTGACGTTGATTAAATAATACTACATTGTTCCTGAATTCACCTCTAAGATTTTGAGCACCATGTTGTGCACCAATCGTACTCATTTGATCACCTACATTACTGCTCAATGTAACTGGGTTGAGTTGCTTAATTACAGGCCTTCGTTTCCTAAAAATGTACTTGCTTATTGTTTAACTAAAAATCTAAAGTCATAAAATAAACTTACCGTGTTGATATTACAGTTAGTGGGCTGGGAGTTGCAATCATTGGTACTGTTGATTCCACAAACAGATTACTATTAAAAGAATGGTCGGTTGCAGTTTTCTTATGATAATTGGGCAGGTGGGAATCAGAATGTATCACTATACTTTCACTTTTAAATACTAGAAAATTAATATAAGAACATAATTCATTTAACTATATTAAAAAAAAATACATGCTAGTAATACAAATTTTGAAATAAATACAAGTTTTCCAATTCAGATACGATATAGTTGTCTATCTTTGCAAAATTGGTGGTTAATGCAAAATTTTTAATGCAAGCGAATTTTATGTTATCTTATTACCACAGATGTTTCCCGACTGATTGCAGAGTAAAGGGTGTGATTCACACGTTGTATGGACCTTTGCTAGATACGATCCATTACGATATCGCTTCCAGTGTGTAATGCACTTACACACTCGTACGATGCGTCGTCACTCCCCTACCCTACCACAATCGATGTATTGGGTCAGAACAAAATATATTGAAGCATATATCGTACCCTGGGCTAGATACATAAGTAAAGCTTAACACACGTTACCCACTGCTGCTAGAGTGACAATATGTGAAAATAACCTTAATGAATGTATTAGTAGCAATCATATAATTAGCTAATAAACGCGACGCCTTACAACGTGTTCTTCTTATACAAGCAATGCATTGTTATTCCACACTAAGCAGGCACATTCTGTGCGAACAATATGCACAGAGGTGGTGAGGCTAGTTATTTTCGCCATTTAAAATGAAACGAAGTAGAAAACTACTATGCGCCGAAAATTCGAAATAATACAATCAATAAACTCAACTTGAATTAGAAATTTTTCACTCAATATTTCACGAACTAAATTTGAAAAAAGCCGTGCGCCATTATGATGCCGTTTGTAAATGGGACTGTAACCACGTTTAATTACATTACATTAGATAACTCTAACAGCATCAAAATTATCCTGATACACCATTTTTCAATCAAATATGTACACTTTATTTTCTATTTATTAATAAACGTTTCTAACTGAATAATTGACCAAAATTAGTCTTCAAAACATCGTTGCTCTTTAAAAACTTTTTTCTTAAGAATTTACATGTCTATTGTTGCATTAGTATGATTAAACTAATATTTATAATTGCAATAACTGTGCCTAAACGCTATGTTCTTTTACGTGGATATTTAGTAAATAAATTTTAAAATTGTCAATATTAATAAACTTGAAAACCTGAGGCAACGCATAGAAAGTTAGTAATTTCACGAGCATACAAATTAAGTCAATTCTACTAAACCTAACTATTTTTAAAATTCTAATGAGCGTCATTGTTTTCCTTTTCTCTATGTTTCATTTTACGATTTCGTCAAAAATATGAGCAATATTGCCAAATGATTTAAACATTGCATCCCAAAAATGTAAACTCAGGGTTACTATCTGCGATTTGAAGTAGACTGGCTTCCTTCCGCAAATAAGATATTTATTATAGTTTCCAACACAAGCATAACGGTAACTCTTATTCTATATTTTAATTATGCAGAACTTCCCTTTCCCTTGGTAACGGTAGTGGAGATTATTTGTAGATGTCAAAGCAAGACTCGGGGAAAATTGAACACATAAAACTCGACGATATCATAACAGACGAGGTATCTGGCCTAACGGCACAATACAAGAAAGCGATACGACAAGGATATGATTTAATTAATTAAATAACTGGATGGTTTGAAAACGAACTGCTTTGCTGTGAGCAAACTTAAAAAAAGGACTTAAAAAGACTCCCCACAGGCACGTAAGAATCGTTTGAATATTTTAATACTTAAAAAAATAATAATAACACATATTTATTGCAAGAGGATTGCTATTACTTTTCGTATACATATATGGATTATATCCATGGTGGCTACTGAACAAGACGGTTATTTTTAGAACGCACCATTTAGAACCGGTATGACATTTTTAATATCACAACAAAAAATTGCATTGACAGTTGCATCGCCAAGGCGTTGTGGCTACTTTGCTAGAATTTGAGCGAACGACGCACATGCATTCATAACAAACCAAATGCAACCACTAACATAAAAATATTAGCTGCAGTGTTGATAAAAAGTTCAATTATAACTTCAGATGGGTGCATAATGGCTCACAAATATTCTCGAAGCATTTTACAAAACAATGCAATATTGAAATTGGAACAATCAGTCTTATTGTAAAATTTATGTAAACGCCATTTCTAATGGAAAAATTCACAAATTTGTGTTTTTCTTATTGTGAACTTCACATGAGAAAAATCTCCCTAAACGTAAATGAAAATCTTTTCACGCGAATGCATGAAATTTGTTAGTTGGGAACATTCATTCTTTATTAACTATTTACTTGATTTTAAGAACTTTTTTATATGAACTAAGAGCTATTAACAAAATACAGTTGATGTTTTTGGTCAACAGTACAACCGACAATCCTGATATAGGAAGGAGTTTTCAACAAAACAAGGAGAAAGTGCATATATTTTCAATGAATTTACATGATTTTTACAATAGCAAGGGACAACTATCGAAATCGAGTTCAGAATGAAAAAGGTAACCATCGATTTTCACATTGCTACCCAATGTGGGGCCATTCAAGACGTTTTCCTTAAATCAATTATTCCTTCATATATACCAATACATCTGAAATTGTTATCTGCATGATTTATGCACCCAATACCGATTAGATCAAAATATTATATATATTATAAAAATAAAAACCCACTTTAAGCTAAAACAGTCGCAAAATTGGCCATATGTTTACAAATTTTTTTTAAATGCCACTGAAATAAAATAACAATATGTGACAGGTTGCTGAAGTTCACAATAGGATAATCGAAATTCGAACATTTCACACGAAATTCATGATACGAATTTTTGTTCGAGTGTAATTTATTCACACGAAGTTTACAATAAGGATGAATAAAGTTTTCGGTGATGCTGTCTTACCACTGGTTCCCCTATTATTATTCAGAGTAATTTCAATCCATTTCAATTATGTAACGGTACCCGTTTGGTAATCAAATAAATTACCGGAAATATTATTATGGCAACCATTTTGACTGGAAATTTAGTGGAGAAATAGTCCTCTTGCCACGTTTTCCAATGATACTGTTGGAATGTACGATACGAGTAGGGCTAAATTAAATTCAATTTGAAAATGTTTATAATTAAAAGCTATAAATATTATTGTTTAAAATTAAAAATAATCTACCCCATTCATTATCTCAAATGTTATCAACTAAAAACTTTGAAAATTACCCCTCAATGAGAAAGTAATGTTCAAATTTTAACCCCGTGGATTCTTACACCGGAAATAACGTTTTCGTTTTTCTTCATAAATGCAATTTTACTGTATTGAATAGTTTATAATTAATGTATACTTTAGCAGTACGCGTGGACAGGGTCCTCTAGAATTTTATATATGTACTTATTAGACGATTCTTAATATAGTTATTAATTTGAATATTGTTAAAAGACGAAAATTCAAACGGTGGTACCTCTCATTTTTATATTAACAGAATGCTAAGCTTTTTATAAAGTAGTCTAATTAAAATGTGTTATTTACCGTCTTCGATATTTTGCATCACAAAATCCTGAGGATCTTCATGTTTTGAAGCAACTTCTTCTTCATATTGATCACTTCTGACTAGAATTCCAAATTGTGGGTATCCAACACTAACTGCATTTACATTCATATTAGTGAAGTGTTCACGATCGATTACTTCCTCCATTGAATCGGTCTGCTCCACCTCACAGAGTATATTTGACTGAGACATCCTGATAGCAAGTATTTTTTGACTATTTTAAGTATGATTTTTTAACAACAATCATCAAAGAACCTCGAATTTTATACATAAGTTTGATGTACAATCTGAATATTTCGTCCTTTTTAATCAAATGTAATTCCTGAGTCTGGAGTTTGACTAATTTAGATGATCATCCTGAATTGATGAATATTTCTTTGGTTTCCGTTATGTTTGCTACTAAAAGAATAAAATTTAATTCAATTTTTCATTTTATTGTCAATATTTTTAAAAGGGGCAATTAACCTAAATTACAGTTTATAAAAATCTATGAAGATATCAGAATATTTCTTAAATGTATAAACTTTCTCACAAATTTATATGGTAAATAGGATTCTAAATATTCATTGTTTGACGAGTTTTGACAAGAATAAAAGAAACAAGCAAACAGTAGCCAATTACCAATTGTACTGTTCTCTATCCGGAACGAACCCGGATTTTTATTAGACCAAGGACTGTCAACTCGGCAGAATTCTGCCGTTACAACAACAACAGCAACAACAACTAATTGTGCTTCGTCTTATATTAGTTTGCATATAGGATATATACAAGATTTTCAACAGTATTGTCTGGTGGCAACACTGTTCAACTTTTCAACAAAATCGTTAAATGAAACACAAGGAAAAGAAATCAACATGTTGCGAGAGTATAAAAATAAAGTATACATAATTGCTTTAACGTTATTGCATTGTCATCGGTCCTTGACACGTCTGCAAAGTTTCAAGTTGATCAGACTTCTGGAAACCGGATATACATTTTTGTTTTTGCATTTTGAACTTAAGAATATAAAGAAGAAATACATGTAGAAAATTTGAACTAAGTTACATATTTACATTGTGTTTTTACTTCACTTAAAAAACTGTGTCGGGTGAACGCAGACTTAATTGGCTATGTGTATTTATATATATAGGGCGCTGTGGTAGAAGTTTGGGCGAGTTGCACAGATCAAAATCTGAGATTACAAGAGGAAAGGTTTCTTGGTGTTATCGATGAAAGCCGTGTATGTACCTCCGTAGAAGTCAATCTCACCCTGAAGTGAATTGATGGATTTAGCCAGTCTATTTCGCGGTCTATTTTCTAGGAGTTGGAAATTTTTAGTATTCAACTACGACTGAGTTCTGGGCCGACTGAGGCAAATTCAAAACAGCCGAGAATGTCGGGAGCATCAATGATGTTGTTAACAACTTTGTAGAAGAAACTAAAATCAGCAAACTGTCGACGTGCAGATAGTTTGTTGATGTTAAAGCGCTAGTATAACTCATCAGTGGAGTAGGTGTGACTTGATGATGACAATTAAAATTTGCGTTGGACCTTTTCCACTTTGTCTATCATTACATTTGAGAAAGGGGACCAGATAACTGACCCATATTCAAGGATAGGTAGAACCAAATATTGGAAAAGTCTAGTCAAGGTGTAGGGGTTGCTGAAATCTATACCGTTTTCTTTGAATGAACCCGAGGGTTTTGAATCCCTTGGATGTGATTTTATCAATATGTTTAGAGAAGGTGAGCTTATTATCATGCCCAGGTCTTTTACGTCTTCAACCTCTATAATCTCCCGGCCGTCGATCTTGTAGTTTGCATGAATTGGTGAGTACGAGCGGGTGAGAGATATAGCAACGCATTTGTTGACGTTGAGGTCAAGTTTATTCACACGGCACCAATTACCAAGAGTATCAATATCTTGCTGTAGCATTAAGATGTCAGTCATAGAGGCAATAGGTCTGAAATTTTGAGATCATCTGCATACAGCAGATGGTCTGAGACAATATTATTACCGATAATAGAGTACCGGGCATAAATGAGACCCTTGTGGTACACCAGATATCACTTCATATTTATGAAATAGATAGCCATCGATTTCGTGGTCAACACGATCAAATGCCTTGCTAAAATCTGTGTAGATGCTATGAATACAGTTGCCGGAGTCCATAGTATTAAGCAATTTGTTAATATATAGAAACAAATTTGTTGTAGTGGATCTGCCTCCAGTGAACCCATGGGGTTTGGTGGTTATGATGTGTTCAAAATACTGTAATAGCTGTGGTAGCACCAATTTCTCAAATAACTTGGTAAGGGCGACTGAATACGGGCGGACGATAATTGGTGACCATCGCTTTTGATCTGTCCTTGTGTATTAAGGTTATGTATGATAATTTCCAGTATGATAAGGGATTCACTGAATATATGTGTCAAGGGTTCACAAAGACCAATCGGACAGTTCTTTAGGAATATATATCTGACTGAAAGTTCATAAGTTTTAGATGTGTAATTTTTTTTATTTATATCGAGATTTACACTTCTACTATGCACTTTTTATATGCTAACACCTCACAAAATTGTTGTTGTTGTTGTAACGGTTATCTAGTCCCCGCTGGATTATAAGTGATAGTTTGGTTGTCGTCGAGGTCATCTAACGGGAGACCCAAGAAACAGGCTGTTTCGACGGGGTCGGACCATAGGGAAAAGGGTGTTAGATGAGTTGGGTTTGTTGGGCATGCAAAGAGGTGGTTAGTATCATGCGGAGCCTCGCGAAGCCTTTTGGCAATAAAGCCATAGCTTTTTTACAGAACTATCACTTCAGTACACGTAAGCAAGAACTCCGGAGTAAACCTCAGCGTCACAAATTAAAGTAAAGATCACATTATTTCAATACCACTAGGGCGATCAGGGTACTGAGGCTGAATAATATAATACAATGTGGAGAAGGGTGGAAACAACAGATTTAAATTTAATTCTAACTCGTTGACGAAAAACATCAATAAATCCTTTTGTTATTGTGTGAATAAAAAGAATTGAACAAAAAGTTAAATATCGAATTAATGCTATATTGCACTATTTAATAAAAAATAAATGTGTAGAAACGAATTAGTTAGGTGTTAGTGGATTTAAAAGTTAAAAATATAAGTGTAAAATCTCTATTTATAAAAGAGAGTTGTGTTAGTTACATTATTTATAACTCAAGAACGGCTGAACCGAATGGGCTGACAATTGGTGGGGAGGTAGCTTAGAGCCCGGAGAGGGACATAGGATACTTTTTATTTTTTTATGTTAAAAATCAATTCATAAATACAAAAATTATATTTCAAATGAGCATGTGTTCAAAATTCATGTAAGAATCATTTGAATATTTTATTACTTGAAAAAAAATACTAATAAGAACACATAGCTACTGTAAAGTACAGTAATTTTCGTATAAATATATGAATTATACTGATTATTGCTACTGAACAAGACATTTTTTCGTTAGGTCGCACCATTTGGAAAACATTTTTAATGACACAACAGAAAATCGCATTCATAACAAACCAAACACAACATCTAATAAAAATAAATTAAAAAAATATCGGCATAGCTGCAGTGTTGATAAAAAGTTCAATCATAATTTAAGATAATAGCTCACAAATATTATCGACGCATTGCACAAAACAATGCTATATTGAAACGGCAACGATGAAGTTTTCGGTGATGCTGTCTTACAACTGTCTGGTGATTGCAGACAGACCAGTCATTCTTCGCTTTTCTTGAGCCAATGCGATTAAGGAATATTTAAGCAATCGTTTTTATGGTAGTATTGAAACACTTCAATTTACCATAATAAACAAAAATTGAAAACTCATCCACCCTCAGATATAAAACAATTGCTAGATATTGGGGATGGTATGGTGAGAACTGTAACCAAATACGCAATGCCTTACACTGCCAGACAATTTCTGCACTCCTGTTCACGAAATCAATTGATTAATTGCGAGTAAATATCACTGAAATTATCTGTTTGGATCAAAGCTGGCTCAGTAATCAGGTTACATTGCGGCCAAAAAGGTAGATGTTGACGAAATTAAATTCCAGATACAACAGCTGTTGCCAGGCTATCAGATGTATTTTAAATCATTTGCTACTGTTGTTGATGAAAATGAAAACGTAAATTATCTCGATACCATATACTCGGAATGACATCACATCTTCGGTTGAAAATTGGTTCACCTATTATTATTCAGCGCAATTTCAATTCACCTCAATTATACAACGGTTCCACTTTGGTAATCAAAAAAATTAAAGGAAATATCTATATATATACTATAAGTATTATTGTTAAAAATCATATGCCCTTTCATTATCTGAAAGGTTATCAACCAAAAACTTTGAAAATTACTCATTTATTACAAATCGGAATATAGAATTAATAAAATAAAAATTCAAGATCTTATATCTTATGTTTATTTGTTCTTAATAATAAACCTAAGAAAATTTGTAGGAATCATTTTTCAATATGAAAGTAATGCTCACATTTTAATCCCTTGAATTCTTACACCGGAAATAACGTTTTCGTTTTTATTCATATATACACTTTTACTGTATTGAATAGTTTATGATTAATGTATTTATCGCAACGCGTGGACGGGGTCCATAAGTTCATTATAAATCGAAGAAACACGACCTTAAAATAGTTGGATGTTTTGAACTTTAAACCGTTTCCTCGACAGTCGGGTCTAAGTACCAAGACCTATCGGTTAAATAATTAGCAACGCTTGATATTTTGGTAAAAAATAATTATATTTGATTGAAAAGCTAATATTTTGTCGAAAAGCCATTATTTTGAATAACTGTTTCACATCTGTGAGGCATTTGTTCAAGTACAATAAATTCTCACATATGTTTTTAGAAATTGCTTCCCATTCCATCTTTACCTCTTCGAAAAGTTCGGTGAAATTTCCGGCTTTGTGCAATCCAACCTTTGTTTTCGATTGCTCCCAGAGATTCTCAATGGGGTTCAGGTCCGGACTGCACGATGGTCCTTCTAATAAAGAAATCATATTTTCGTCCTTCCATCGTTTAGTTGACCACGCGGTATGTTTGGGGTCGTTATGTTGCTGAAGAGCCAAGTAACAGGCGTATTGTCGTCAGAATATGGAAGCATTAGCATCTATTTATTTTCGTTTCATCCGAAACTAGGACCCAAAGAGACCTTCTTCCTTGAATGTCTTTTGATATATATAACTATAAATTTTCTCAAAAATATGCACGATTGAATTTTTTTTTGATATTTTTTAAATTCGCTCAAGATTCGCTCGTTGTGTTGTTGTTGTTGTTGTAACGGTTACCTAGTCCCCGTTTGGTTGATAAATTCCAGATTCGTTGTCGTCGAGGTCATCTAACGGGAGGCCCAGGAAACGAGCT